TCCCCTTCCCCGGCTGTCCTGGTGTGGTTCCTACGCATCCCGGTATGCCCCTCCCCAAAATTCCCGGTCGCCACCTGGAGATCTTGGTTGCCCACTCCCCGATTGTGTCCTTCCACTGGCAGAGGGGCTCGGCCCCCAAGAGGGGAATGTCCCCCCTTTCCCTCCAGCCCCCCCTTTCCTTTTTCCCCCCTTTCCTTCAGCCTCCACTTTCCTCCAACCCCCTTTCCCTCCAAGCTCCCCTTTCCCTTTTCCCTGGAGTCCCCCCCTATTCCCAGGCTGGCAGCAGGAGGGGGTGGCAGTTTGTGGATGCCAGGTCCCAGGGCAGCCCTGCATTGTCACCCATGTCCCTGTCCCCCCGTAGGGGACACCAACCCCCTCTGCCCCTCCCGGGCAGTGGAGAGGGGCAGATGGTGGCCTGGGCACGCAGCATCCCTGTGCCCTGCGGGGGTTTGTCCTGCCTCCAGCTCACCTGGCCGAGCATCCTCCCCACAGGGCGCCTGCCAGCCGTGCAGGGACCCCCAGGTGGGTGCCCAAAGCCGGACCCCTGCAAGGGGACGAACAGTTTGACCCCCACCTCGCTCCAGCCCCCCAAAGGGGTGTCAGAGCCACCTGGAGAGCTGCCTGTGGCCTTGGCACGGGATTGGCATCATCTTGTCCTTGCGGGGTACCCGGCACAGGCAGGTTTGGGGGTCCCTGGACACCCCACCTTTGCAGAGCCAGTGGGGTTGGTGGCCTGTGAGTACTGGCCGAGTGGCAGGTGGGAGAGGGAAGTGGGGTCCTCCCTTGCTCTTCCCGGGGCTGGTGTTGGTTTCCAGAGGTGGAGAGCAGCGGGAGCCACTGGGAAGGGCTGTAATGGTGGAGCAGAGCGTGTGTGGCTGTCGGGAGTAACACGAGCGCGTGTGCGTGTCCCTGGGACTGCAGCCGGAGCTGGCCCTATCGATCCCCCGCTTTGGCTTTACTGGGAGCGATTCCTGGCTGATTAAAAGAGACCTGGCCCACGGTTTGCCTGGGAGTGGGGGAGCTGGAGTCGTGCGAAGCTCTGTGGGTCACCCCACTGCTCCTTGCTTGGATTTGATTTTTTTTTTTTTTTAATGGAACCGGGTCTTGAAGTCCCAGAGAAGTGGGTAAAAAATATG